TGATAAAAGGAAATGAAAATTTCGATTATGTCTCTTAACCTTGTTTCTATGATTTTTTCGTAAAGTTTAAGACAGTGTGACATTAGTTATGCCCCTGTAATTTTGACAATTGTGTGGATCCCCTTTATTTTTGAAGATCGGAACTGGTAGCTCTGCCTCAAATTTTGAGAAGTCTCTTCGTTTCTCAGTATGTTATTAGGAAATTATTCCATCATCTCTTAGTGCTAAGGCCTTCTATTGGAATATCATTTGAACCCCTAGCTTTGATGTTTTTCATATGCTTGAGTCATGTGATTATCTTGTTCTGTTATTGGTTGTATAAGGTTTTGACATGGGAAGTGTTCATCTAGATGTAGTGTATGGAGATTAAAGTTGAGAACCTCCTGAAAATATTCATTATTTCTTTTTCCTTTATTATCAATTTCCCATCTTTATTTTTGATTACTTTCGGAGCTCAGTTTATATCACTAGAATTCTTTTCTCGCTGTTTGGCTAATCTGTATACTTTATTTTGCTCTTCTTTAGTATGTAGTTCTTCATACATGTCATCGCCATAGCTTTGGTCCTAGCCACCGCCTTTGTAGTTATTCTCTTGGATTTTTTGTATCTTGTCTTGTCATCTGGGTTTTGGATTAGTATAGGGCTTTTTTCTCCTGTAAAGTGCTTTGTACCTCTTCATTCCACCACCATAGTTCTTTGTATGATTTGTTGCCTCCTCTTGTCAAGCCTAGTGTTGATTAGGCAGTGTCTATTATGGATGAAAGGTCTGTCTCCATTTTTTCACTGACTTGTGAGGAATCTATTGTTTCAATGTTGGAATTGATTGCAAACATTTAATCTACCCCTTTTGATGCATGGTTCAAGTTTTATCTTTATTTGAGTGAATTTATTTGAGAAGTGTAAATCCATGACTATTAACTTGTATTGCGCAGCAATATCTTCTCCTGGGATGACTTTGCAGTTTATTACATATCTTATCTTCTGCGACAGATAAGCATGTTATCTATCTGGGTTTTTGTGGTCTACACCCTGCTAGTCGCTCGGAGGGAACACCCTAGCTTTCATATTCATATTTTCGTTTGTATCCTTCATTTGTTTATTAGACAATATCCTTAGCACCCGGCTGTCCAAGCCTATCGGTGACCGGGATGTCATCTCTAAGCTCCGAAATTAATCTTACCATATGTCTTAACACATCCGTCAACGAAGAAAAACCTGAAAATATTTTACGGTTCCTTGTCAGGATTGCACCAGGAACCTTCTGTTTCCAATACATCATAACCCACTAGGCGACCCCGGCGATTACGAAAGTGATAAATAAATATTAAAAAAATAACATAAATTTAAATAAAATATTACACCCGAAAGAAGCAACAACCGTAATTTGTTTAGTATAAGCCTATTAATATTATAAAATATAATAATAATAATCTAATTTTTGAAATAGAGGGAAAGGAGGAATGGAAATAATTATCGATTTTAATCTAGAAAAACAATTTCAAAAAAGTTTTAAGAAAAAATAAAAAAGGATTGTAAGAAAAATGGGGAACAATTATTACGCTTATAATGTTGAAATACAAATAAAGTTTATTCTTGTCTTTTAATTAAGTGTTTTAATATATAATGTTATTATCAAGTCAAGTTACTTATAAGATAGAATGAGACGCAAGGTAATTTATTTTATTTTATATATCATACAATAATTTCAACTAATATCAATTTCGCGATTAAAAATATAACAATAAAAAAACTGTAATAATAATATCCCAATATACATTCTTTATACATATATAAAAAAATATAAAAATCGATTTTTTTTTATTCGTAAACAAATATTTCCTTACAATCCGAATAAAAACCCAACTGTAACGCCTTCCTTCTTCCCAGAGGCCAAATTCACCCCTTTACATAATTTGCTCACATATATATATAAAATTAATACACATATATATATATAATATACTAATGAATATATTTTTTTTTATTTAATTAAATATATTTAAAAAAAATTAAGTACTCAACAAAATACAAAAAATATTTTTACGAAGGTCCGTTAATTAACATCTCCTCCCTCTCATTTAAAATTGTCTAGGTCGTTTGAAGATCCTCACTGGGTACAATACCCTAAGTGCCATTTTGAGCCTACCAACTCCTGTCTCCTCAAAACCATTCGCAAATTCGTCCCTTTGTTATTTGTGTTGAGTAATCACCTCAACCCCTTCCTTTTCCGTCATTTTCATCATTGGCCCTTTGTCACCCGACATGAGACTGCCATGATTATCCGGGGCGGGTGCTACCATCTATTATGTCTAATGGTCATCCACGTTGGGGACTGCACCATTCTACTTGAACACGTCACTGATTTATGACTCAGTCCTTACAAGTGAAACACGAAAGATTTAATCCACAGGTTGATAAACTTCTAAAGGATTGCATAGTGCTCTTCCCCAGGCCCTCTATGCAAATTCTTATAATTCTAGTAACTAATATTCAGAATTGTTAAAAGATACTTTTTAAATGGATCTAGATACAGATACATCGTCTAAAATAATATCTAGATACCGATATTTTATTCAAAAATCTATCTAGATACAGATACCACATTTTTATCCTTTAACAACTCTGCTAATATTACATTAATTATACAATACAGTTCAGTAGCGTATCCAGGATTTTCTTATAGGGGGGGAAAATTTTTTGGGGGGGCTTCGCCTCCAAACCCCTTTTACCTGGCCTTCGGCCAGCTTTCCCCCGGCCTTCGGCCGGGTCTTATTTAGCTATTCTATTAAATTATTCATAATTTAATAATAATTATATTTCTATTTTTAACTATTATTTACTAATTCGTGCTTATGGATAGGATATTACAAGCCTCTTTTTTATTATTTCAAGTTACGTATATTATATTTAATAAAGTTTTTTCAAATGTAAAGGTTTTTTTAAATGTAAAGTTAATATAAAGTGTAATGTCATTTTTTTTATAAAATTTGCTTTAAAAACTAGCCTCAGCTTAAATTCTCATACAATATAAGTAGAATATAATTTTTTTATTGAAAATACTAATAGTAGTGTGTTTAAAATATTGACTAGAAAATAATTAAATTAACAAGTTTTTTTAACTTCTTATCAAATACAAGATTTTTAATTATTTCGTTTGTCGTTGGAACCAAATCTCTGTGTATATTTAACAGAGCTAACCCATTTAGCCGAGATTCAGTACTTCGTAAATATGTTTTCAACCTTCTCAAGTTGGAAAAAGTCCTTTCATTCGTAAAGTGTTGTAATAGGCAAACATGCAAGAATATAAAACAACTTCGAAATATTAGGAAATTGAGCCAAGGTTTCTTTACACTGATTGAGCGCATCAATAGCATGCTCAGGTAAAATAGCTTAACGTATAAATATTTATACCACAATTCGAATTCACTGATTAAATTTATTTCAGTATCAATCTCATAGGAATAAAATTTTTCTAAATATTTAATTTTACCAATAGTGGCATTAGAAAATGAAGAAGGATCTTTGGGTAATAAAACTTGAAGATTGCTAAAGACTTGTTTTTTATCTAAAACCCGTACTTTTATTTGCGATAAAAAAGTATCTAAGAATGGGATGAAAATGGATATTTTATAATATTCTTCAGTTTACCCAATATTTATTTTCATCTCAATAATGGCCTAGGTGCTAGACGAAGTTTAATTAGTGTTATATCATAAAATTTAGCCTTCGATTCAACGTCTAGATAAATATTATGAAAATATGTATCTACATTCATTCTTATTGTATCTACCTGTTCATGTATATTTTCCGCAAAATCAATAACCTGAACCAAATCTAAATTTGGTTTTTGTAAATTTCTACAAAGTAGTGAGCTAAAAATAATTTATTGATGCAACTAGCAGCAATGATAAACTCTGATTGATCAATTGAATTCAATAATGATATCGCTGCTGACTACACATTACTTTTTTTCATGCTCAGCCTTATTTATAAATTTTCGTTTGATTTCAATCTCTTTGACTAAATATTTTTCCATTTTATTAATATTTTTGAATAATATGTTGGAAAATTGATATTCAAATATTTGTAAAATTTTGATTGGTGGGGGGGGGGGGTAAAATTTTTATTAGCTTAAAATGATATTTATAAAAATAGTCAAATTTGCGATGGGGGGGGGAATTTCCCCCTTTTTCCCCCCATTGGTTACGCGCCTGATACAGTTTTCACTTTGGACTAAATAAAGAATACCATTTTTTAATCACGGAAAAAAAATTAAATTTTAATATAAACACGTGAAATAAAGTGAGAAAAGTGAAATAAAAAAGTGAGAAAACATGATATGCAAATTCCTATACTACTAGAAAATATTACATTAAATTCAGTTATATCTTTGGATACTACCATTTTGTTAAAACACTTGAAAACAAAATTAAATATTTTTTATATTAAAACGTGAGATAAAGTAAGAAAAGAGTGAGGTGTGAGAAAGTAGACTCAAAATTGTGTAAGCAATAATGAAAATCAATGCCGAATCGTACACTGACAACCTTGTTTGCATCAAACATTTCCAATTCTAGCCTATCGAAATATTCTTTTTCCATATTTTCTTATTAAATAAATATTTAAAAGCTATTTGTCAAATGATATTACTAAAATAATATTTGTATTTAATTGATCAATGTAATTTTTCTGTATGTTTTTTATTATAACTTATAAAAAGGATATATTATGATTAAACTAAAAAATATATAAAATTTAAAAAAAATTGCTCAATGTGAGATTTTATATAAAAAAAAATATATATTTAATTATACGATACAACATTTTATAAAATTTATAAATTATAGTGTTAAAAAGAAAGAAGTATATTTTAGGTAATATTTAAACAAAATTAAATCAGGGTTGCTAACAGCAACTAAGTAATAATACTGTCTTGTAATTTGAATACTGCTTTAATTAAAAAAATTACTAAAGTATAAAATTGAGCATTGTATTTGGTCAATTCTCAGAATCATTACCACCAGTTAAGAAAATTATAACCCAATTTGTAAAAAAAACATTCATAATAAATAAATAAATTCATTTAAAAAACCCTAATATAATATTTCAAATATAATATGAATTTGCTTATGATATCGATTATGAGATCCGATTAATCGCATCACAATATGTGAGCCGAATGGGGTTTAGTTAACATTTATCAAATTTAAAGTATTGGAGGGAAGTGGCGAAAAAGCAATCACTATACAATCTAGTTCTAAATTTAATTTTTGCACCAAAAGACGCAACGCGTCGGATTCAATATTGAATACCGCCCTTTGAAACGTGGGGGCTGACAAGGGTGTAGGTATCAGGAGGTTCTTGATTATTTGATGTTTCTATATGAATTCAATGAATGATAATAATGTAGTATATATATATAAAAAGAGATCACATCGAGTGTTCAAAAAAAAAAGATTAACACTATGTTTTTGAAAAAGGGACACTTATGTGAGTAAAAAAATCTATATGTGCATTTGTGAATTTCCGAAATGATTAACCGGTATAAATATATATGGTTAATTCCAAGAAGATATAAGAGGACCTCCCTCTGATTTTGTTAAAAAATTGTATATTGATAGTGTATTTATGGTCAAAGTGAAAATTTATCAAATTTCAATTCAAATATTTATGGATGTTGTAAAGCTAGCAGTATAGTGTAAAAAGGGAAAGGGGCGGTTGGGGTTAAATTCCTACTCAAAGAAAAGAGGATTGGGTAAAATTTTGTTTTTATAATAATTTTATATTGATATCTAGACGAAAATTACTTTCATTTATTTTAAATTGATAAAACCGTCTCCTTAATTTTATAATTCTATAAAATAATCTCTAAAATTTCTTCTATTTTAAAAAATGTGTGAAAATTTTAAAAATCTAGGAATAACACTACAGGCATATTTCATTTTATTATCAAATTTTCACATAAAAAAATTGGGTAACTAACGGTATCTCGGGGAAATTTTTCATCTTTTTTTATAAATTTATTTTTTATTTATTGTTGTTATTTTTAATTATAGCTTTTTTAAAAGACCATAATTATAATATTATAATGGAATATCTTATTTTTACCGATATCATAAATTGTTATACAAGAACCATAGCTTTTTTAAAAGACCACGAACTTCTAGATAATCACATGTGTTGTAATAATAATATGATAATGGAGAGAAATGCAGCATCTTATAGAGTAAGATGCAAAATATGTACAAGCAGCAATTCTATATGGAAGGGTTTAACAATATATTATTTTTTAAATTTATTTTATTAATTAGGCTCTATATTTGAAAATGTTAATATCCCTGTTAACAAATTTATACATCTAATATATCTTTTTGTGTCCTTGACGTCAATATCCGACAGCCTTCCTTTAATAGAGTTAGCACAATGTACCATTGGAAAATGGTATATATTTGTAAAATTTGTCAATAAGTATTTTTTAGGTATGCTATATTTAGAAAGATTTGCTGCCATACACAGGCAATTAATTTTGACAAAATAGGGGGACCTGGGCATGTGATTGAAATAGATGAATCCCATATTTTTAAAAGGAAAAATAACACAGGGAGGATTCTAAAATCTAATGCCATTTGGGTTGTAGGAGGAATTTCAAGAAATGATGGGAATTTTTTTATTTCTCATACAGAAAAAAGAAATAAAGATACCCTTCTAGGTATAATCAGCAAACATGTCCATACTGATTCAACTATAATGACGGACAAATGGAAGGGGTAATTTAAATATTGATAAATCTTAAAATTTAATATTTGTTAAGTTATAACAATCTAAATGAAAATGGCTATGACCATTACTCAGTGAATCACAGTCAAAATTTTGTAGACCCTAATGATATATCAACCCATACTCAACGCATTGAGCGTTTATGGATGGATCTTAAGGCAGGCATACCCAGAAATGGAAAAAAATCTTCAACTCATTTGTATATATGTCAATACAGTTATTTTCGCAAAATTAAAAATATGTCCAATTTAAATAAATTAATTAAATTTTTAAATGATATAAATATGTATAAAACTATTTTTGTTTTTCCTTAAAATTATATATATCTATATTATCATTGTTTATTGAAATAAATTGGTTAATTATCTAGAATTTGATTGAAAATTTTAAGAAAAAAAATTATATATATAACTATATTATCAGTGTTTATTCAAATAAATTGGTTATTTATCTAGAATTTGATTGAAAATTTCAAGAAAAAATCTTAATTCTCTAGTATATTATGATTATATTTTTATCTTAAATATTTAGTATTTGATTCAAAATTTTTAATTAAATTGAAAATTTTTAGAATGAATTTTAAATAATTAAAAATTTCAAGAAAAAATCTTAATTCTCTAGTATATTATGAATATCTAGTATTATCAATTTTTTTATTTATTAATAAAAAAAATAAATAAAAATTAATAAAAAAAATATTTAAAAAAAAACAATAATATCGAAAATTTCCCCGAGATACCGTTAGTTACCAAAAATTGATAAACGAAACATTTCTCAATCGACTATTTACTTTTTAGTGAAACATACTTATAACTAGTATCACTTTACTAATAGCTGAACATTAGTACTTGAGGGTAAAAAATCATCTATTGTAATCGTTGTCAATATTTTTTTTAATTTAAACTTTCATTTTATTTATTAAATTATATGTTAAAAATAATATATATAAAACATGTAATTTAAGATTTTCATTTATAAAAGATTTCCTATTTAAAAACAATTGTTTTTTATTAAAAAAAAATATTAATTTATAAAAGAACATTTTTTGAACAATTTTTCGAGGAATCATTTTTGTTATGTTTAAGAGTAGGCCATTTTTCTTAAAAATATTTAAATTTTACCCAGCAAAGTAGATTTTAAGTTTTTTTATAAATGTTGATATAATATAATAATATCTATTTTAGAATATTGTTGTTTGTGGATTATTAAATTGATAGTAAGACAAAGATAAGTACAAAATTACGAATATATTATAATTATGATGATAAATTATTTTTATGGCAAAACTAAAATAAATTTTTTTTAAAAAATGATGTTTCTATTATTTTAACTAATTATAAGTCGTTATTTTTCTGGTCTCCGAACCCTGGACCACCTGAACTCCAACCGGGTTCAGAGGTATTTCACTGAAACCAAACCTATTATTTTAGAAGGAGGGTTCACATTCCTAATCATAACTAAGCCATAGATATAGTCTCTTATTTTAAAATGATAAACAGTTGATTTTTTATAATAATAATTTTTTATATATATTTCGTTCTTTGAATCTTGATAGTAATTTTAGAAATTTCCTTGTGCTTCAAATTGTTCAGCTAACTTTAACGGAGATATACATAAGCGGAACACAGTCAAAGACTGTGCAATAGGATCCCCTCTCTCTTGCATAAATCTTGGCTAATCATTGAGGACTAGAATAAATATATTCTAGTGACTTAATAATAGCTTTTCATTTAATATAAAATAATAAATTGTCAAAATCGATACTCTTTTTCCGATCGTTTTTTTTATATTAGCAAATCTTAATCAAGGTACATATATATATAAAAAATTGGGATGGGAATTCTATAGGTTTTTAAGTTATGATTATGTAAAGGAACAAAAATGGCCCAATTTCACACTTCCTAGTTTTTTTATCCTAAAATTTTTTTAATTATTAAAGTTAAAGGCATCAAATTTTGACAAAATAATTCTTCATTGCTTCCCTATGGTCAATGGCATTATTTATAATTTTTTTCAAACCTGCTCTCAAATAATAATTGATTTAAAAATACTTAAATTTTTTTAAGGTACACATTAGGATTCTGAGGATCGATTCACCTCCCTACGGCCCGCTGTAGTATCGTAAATAAAATATTAACATGAACAAACCCGTAACCTATAAAAATAATTAATCTTATTTCCCATTCTTTCTTTCTCCAAATATAAAAATAACTTTAAAAAACAAGAAATTTTAAAAAATTAAGGAGTCAAGCCAAATGTCAGTATTTTAGATGAAATAAACTTGTCTAAATCCTAAAATCAATTCTTTAATTATTTTTAGATCAAAATACAGTGGCGCAACTATAGAAGGGAGAGAGGCAGGAGTGGAATCTACCCCTCCATATGTGAAAATATAATTTTTTGAAAAAATTATCTCTATTCTTGTAAAAATACATTATTTAATACGTATTTTTATGATTTTAAATTATTTGGGCAAAATAATTAAAACAAGTATAAATTTATGCACAACATTATAAAAGGAATAAGATATAAGAATTACTAAAAAAATTTAATTTTTTAGTCCTAAAATAAAATTATTCATTTTATGATTAAAATATTTCTTAAAATATTCTTGTGCAATGATTTTTTTATAGCTATTGGTTTGTTTCAAATCTCTTTCAGTTTTGGTGTTATGAAATAAATATTAAATATTGCTCTTACAATAATAATTTATATAAATAAAATAAATATTTTTAATAAAATTCATTATAGAGTGCTGAATAATCTTGCCAATATTTGACTTTGAATATAGTAATTTAAAAGTTATATAGGATAAGATGCGGTAGTGAGAGTGAAATTGACTTGGGGCGTTTTTGTCCTTTTACATAATCATAACTATAAAACCGGTAGAATCTTAATTCAATTGTTTAAATATGTGCCTATCTAAGATCTACTTACATATAAAAAAAAGCAGTGTAAAAAGTACAGATTTCCTTTAATATGTATTTCCAGTTTTTAACTTCTGTTATTTACCTTATTTTCTTTGGCTAATTATTTTTATACAAAATTAAAGAGCTATATTAATAAAATATATTTGAATGAATATGCTAGCTCAAAAACCCCAGAGATATTAAAATATACCATTTTGAGGGCCCATATTTCGGAACCTGAGTGAACCTGAAATCTAAAATTTTATATCTTTCTTAATTAAAGTACTATTAATATACAGCATTTCAACAAAAACTATCTGAGGGGATCACGCCAAAAATCACGATTTGTTGATTTGTCGTGGAATTCACTATATATAAACTTAATAGAAACCTTTATTACTATACAGATTTTCTATCTTCTCTTCGATACAATTTTCCTCTTTGTGTCTTCCTCCATCAGGACCACTGAGAAGTATAATATCTTGCCGGCCTTTTAGATCATCAACAAATCCTTTATCATTTTTATTAATTAGTTCGTCTATAACTTTAACTTTCAAATGCTCGTCATTCGAATTAGTATCTTTAATATTTTTAACGGCCTTACACATTTCTCGCTCTATGGCAGTAGCTTTACAGACGGCCCTGTAATGGTCCGTTCTTATTTTGAGATAAATGAGCCTGTTAGATGCAGGTCCCGAGCCTACCTGATTTGATTCGTATAGGGGAATGACAGTGAAATCGGGAATGAAATGATGATTCTCTGGAGATAGAATTTTTTTACTTTTGTGATAATGATCTTCCTCGTTATTCCTGTGGCTTGAATATAGAGAGTGAGGATCGTCAACAAAACGAGTTGATTTCTTGGATTTATTATTTAAGAGTTGATCTTAGGAAAAAAAACGATTAATGTATAGAAAAGGAAAGTATCTTAAAAATAATGAAGGATTAGTAATTTGATATATAATTTTTCAGATAATTCGAGAAGAATAGAAAAAATTCGGTCGATATCAATGATAATAAAAATAATAATTATCAAAAAATATGCCAGTCAAAATAGTTCACTCAAACCATTATTAATTGTTGTTATAATTTTTCTGGGATTATCAATATAAAAAATTAGTGTTGTCAGAAACTTTGATTTAGCCAATTTAAAAAAAACGAAATAAATCAAGATCTTAACCAAAAAATATTATATAAACCGTGAAATTTAAAAAAAGGAAGACCAAACCTTTAAGCCATCTATATGAAAGATTTTGAGGATTAGGTTATAAAAAAATTTTGCTAAAATTTGGATTTATTCCGTTTTCTAAAAATTGCAAAATTAACAAATATTTTTGCCGAGATATGGTTAACTAAATTAAGTGGTATGAATATGAATGGTGTTTGAAATGATCAAATGTAAATATATTTTTAAACTAGTTTATAAAAAAAATAATTATATTTTCTTTTTATTTCGTTATTCAAATTAAATATTTTAACGAACAATTATTTTTCTTCAAACTTCGCTTTTTAACTTATATTTTATTTAACTTTTTTTGTAAAATTTTATCCTAACCATATTCAATTTTGCTCATTATTAGTATGTATATATATCGAAAAGATCTTTTTATTTTGAGTTGTTTAAAAATATTATAACTTATGTTATTTTATAATAAAAGTTAAATTAAACCTTTTCGCTGCGTCTCTCACTTATTTTAAATGGTAAATTATTCCATTCGTATTTGATTGAATAAGCTTATCGCCGGGGTAGCCTAGTGAGTTATGACGTATGCTTGGAAACAGAAGGTCCCAGGTTCAATCCTGGTAAGGAACATAAAAATTTTCAGGTTTTTCTTCGATGATTGATGTGTAAAGACATATGGTTAGACGAATTTCGGAGCTTAGAGATGGCACCCCGGTCACCGACAGGCTTGGACAGCCGGGTGCTAAGGATACTTGTCCAATAAACAAAAATGAAGGAAACAAATGAAAATATTTAATATGAAAGCTAGGGCGTTCCCTCCAAGCGAAGCGCAGGGTGTAGAACTCCATCCTGTGAAAAGTAAAATAAAGGTCAAAGCAAAGAAGACAAGATTAGCAAGTTTGAATATTGGGACATTTAAAGGTAAAACGAGAGAATTGGCATCAACGTTGAACAAGAGAAAAGTTGATATAGCGTGCATACAAGAGACGAAATGGAAAGGTCAGAAGACTTTAATGATTGGAGATGGGTATAAATTGTATTATAATGGAATGTTAGCAACAGAAACAGTGTCGGCATCATCCTCAGTCAATACCTAACCTCCTCAGTGGTAGAAGTCAAAAGGATCTCTGATAGACTAATGAAAATAAAACTCTGCATTGGTCAATCTACACATCCGTTTGGTATATGCTCCTTAAACGGGTTGCAAAGAAGAAGAGAAAGATGACTTTAGAGTTATCCTTGATGAAGCTGTAATGGAAATCCCTAAGGATGACCTAGTCATAATAGGTGGAGACTTAAATGCGCATGTGGGAAAAGCAAGAGACAGCTACAAAAGGCATCATGGTGGTTTTGGATATGGAGAAAGAAATGATGAAGGAGAGCATGTACTGAAATTTGTGCAAGCCTTCGACCTTGCCTTAATCACCTACTATAAGAAAAAGGACAGTTATTTAATAACATATAAAAGTGGTACAATGAAAACCCAGATAGATTACATGATCTCTCGCAGAAGATTAAAGGATGTAATAGACTGCAAAGTCATCCCAGGAGAAGATATTGCCGCGCAACACAAGCTACTAGTCATGGATTTACACATCACATATAAATCCACTCAAAACTAGATAAAACTTGAACCATGCATCAAATGGGGTAGATTAAAATCAATGACAGATGCCTTTGCAATCAATGCAAACATTGAAACAATAGATTCCTCACAAGTCAGTGAAAAAATGTGGACAGAACTTTCATCCAGATTAATAGAAACTGCCAAATCGACATTAGGCTTGACAAGGGGAGGCAACAAATCATACAAAGAACGGTGGTGGAATGAAGAGGTACAACAAACCATTATACAGGAGAAAAAAGCCCTATATACAATATGGTACAAATCCAAAAACCCAGATGACAAGACAAATTACAGGCGGTGGCTAGGTCCAAAGCTAAAATAAAATATACAGATTAGCCAAACAGCGAGAAAAGAATTCTAGAGATTTAAACGGAGCTCCTAAAGTAATCAAAAATAAAGATGGGAAATTAATAATAAAGGAAAAAGAAATAATGAATAGATGGAAAGAATATTTTCAGGAGCTTCTCAACATACTACATCTAGATGAACACTCCCCATGTCAAAACCTTCCAATAACAGAACAAGAAATAATCACATGCTTTAAGTATATGAAAAACAACAAAGCTAGGGGTCCAGATGATATTCCAATAGAAAGCCTTAAAGCACTAGGAGATGATGGAATACATCTCCTCACAAATCTGTACAATAAAATACTAGGAAATGAAGAGATTCTTCAAAAATAAAGTATCTTCAAAAAAGATCCACACAATTGTCAAAATTACAGGGGTAAACTCTACGAAAAAATTATAAAAAAAGGTTAAATAGGAGAGACTCAGTTTGAATTTATGCTTGGAAGATCACCAATTGATGCAATCCACGCAATAAGGCAAATGAGTGAAAAATACAGGTAAAAGAACAAAAAACTACACATGGACTTTCTCGATCTAGAAATGGCCTTCGATAGAGTCCCAAGAAAACTTATCTGGTGGGCGTTAGGCCACAAAAAGGTTCCCGAAAAATATATAAGAATAATACATATGTATATGGGCCATACAACAATGGTCCGTAGCACAACAGGTACTTCAACAGGCTTCACAATAGCCGAGGTAGTTCATCAAGGGTCGGCTCTCAGCCCACGTCTCTTCATAACAGTAATAGATGTATTAGCACAGTCTATACCATAAACCAACCCGCGGAATATGATATTGTGATACTTGCCGAATTTAAGGATGAAATGAGAGAAAGATTAGTGAGTTGGATGAATATCCTAGAAAAGCACGGACTAAAAGTAAATAGAGAAAAGAAGGAGTATATGGTGATAGGAGGAGATGAAACAGAGAGCATTGATAGATATCGGCAATTCAAACGGCACAATAGAGAAAGAGATAAAGAGTAAAATCCCAAACAAATTGAAAGGAAAAATTTACAGTTCCATAGTACAACCAACTATTCTATATAGTTCGAAAACATGGCCAACCAAAGAATCAGACGAGAGAAGTCTACAAACTATGGAGATGAGAATGCTGAGGATGATTACTGGGGTAACAAGAAAGGATAAGGTGCGAAGTACAAGAATACTAGGAAGTTTAAAGGTAGTGCCCATTAAGACTAAGATAATGGTAAGCAGACTTAGGTGGTATGTACACAATGAGAAGGTCTATGAACTACATAGAAATAAGGTTGAGAGTTTGGAAGTGATGGGCAAACGTAAAAGAGGAAGGCCAAAACTTCAATGGGGCCATAAAGTTAGAGCCAATATGAAGAAGTATAAATTAAATAAAAGAGATATTATAAATAACATAAAGTGGAGAGATATTGAAGGAGCTTACCAGCAGAAAAGGTGAAAGCTAAAGAGAAAAAAAAAAATTGATTGAATAAGTTTAGTTTAATATAGTATATTAAAAATTATTTTTACAATTTAATTTAGAAATATTTTTACGGAATTTTGATAAACTTGCGTGAATATTTTATCACCATTAATTTAATTGGCCATATTACAGCCAAATTTCAATTAATTTTGAATCTTTTATATAATTTTGAATCCTTTGTAATATTTTGTAACTCATGTATTTGCTTACGAAATATTAATCAGTTTTGGAAGTAGCCTGATAAAACAAAATTTCACTTGAAGAATTAATATAGCAGGCAAACAATTTTAACTCCTGATACCTATATTATAATTTTTTAAATCCTACCACCGTTAAAATATCAATTATTATTAAACCTTTGATAATTCAAAAATTTAAAACATATTTTGAAATTAAATAGTTATTTTCAGGCTCAGGGGTTTAAGGTTTTTTTTATAAATAATGGTTTGAAATTAATTAATAGAAAGAAAAGGTTAAAAAAATTAAACAATGATTATTTTATTACCATCATTTAAAGTCAATGCTTGTAATCCGAAATAACTGAATGGCCCTGTATCGAAACATATGTTCTCGCTTCCGGCGTAAACTCTGACTCGTCCTTCTAATATCATGATAAAATAATCGGCCGGCTTCCCTGTTGGCAAATTAAAAAAAAATTAATTCAAATTTCTTCATTTAGTTCATACTTAAAATAAAAATGATCATGGTAAAAATAATTCCACCAATGATATTATTTAGATAATTATCTATCATGTATAACTAGTTATTTTCTATCATATCACGAATAGGTGAATGAAATCATAAAAGGCTTGGCTAGATAGAGCTTCATGGTTTTTTTTTAAAAAATCGACTAAATCCAAAAAGATTTAATATGGTTAAACTTTTAGTTCCAGGTAATTTAAACAGCAGTTATTTCGCCATAGTTTTTGTTAGCTTTTAGTTGGTTAAGCTATAGCTGACTAGATCAAGATCTCTCATCTTACCTTTTGAAGCTTTTGGTTATAACTAAAAAAAATGCTAATAAAGTCCAAAGGCCTTTGATCTAAGTGGCTTCGCAAACCCAAATATTGGGGCTTGTTGGAATGATTTTTCAATTTTAATAGTGTTAAAATTTTAAATTTATCATAAGAATCTATTATATTGCTATAAATTATTTTTACAGATGTAAAATATTTGTTATAATAGAGGAGTTATTCCCATTTATAAAAAAAATTAAAAATGTGCGTGAGAATCGCAATATAAAATTAAGAGACATATTACCTATCTCATTTACAGTTAGCGCTCGTGGAGAATATATAAAATATCTGCATTTTTGTATTCTTCGCCGTAAATTCGCACTAACTGGGAATGAGGGGTTAATGAACAAACCTTTCGTATATAGGGCATTCCCAATATTGGCGATCTTTATAAAATTGTCGTGGCTACCTAACAAATTGTGTTCTTCGACATTTTTAAGACTAGACTCGAAATATTTGTGGCAGGGGGACACGTTACCCAGCAAAGAAAGACATGACGAATATTTCAAATCGTTTAGAATGTAGGAGCTTGATTTTACTTTAGGTTAAAATTTAGAAATTTGAATTTAAATTAAGTTATTATAATAGGTTCAGTTTATTTTTAAAAGTATTCATAAAAGGTATAAATTTAGATATATTTTTATATTATCTTAATCTGTTTTTTTAATTCGCATGTGATATATTTTATAAAGAAGACGACGCTTTCAATTTTCGACTATCCAAAAAGTCGTATTTTGTTTCCAAATAAATTTATTTAAAATTAGTTTGATTTTATACCTGAAACAATGCATTATTTTTCTTAAGTAATAAGTTTTAGATTGAAAATATAATATATATTTTTCTTTAAATAATATATTTATTAAAGACATGCGAAGATCGATTTAGGCTTGACCCGAATTTAATTTTATTCATAAGCCACGTCAGGTCTGGATTTAAAAGAAGTATGTATTTATTTATACGACTCGGATTTTAAAAATTTTAATCATTTTAGGGCCCTGTCCAAATTTAAAAAATTTCCTCATTTTTTAAACAATTTTGGTTTGCCTAAATTGTTTCAAAAAAGAAAATTGAAAGTATTTTATGCAAAATGAATGTTAAAAAGTTCATCACAAGATTTTACTAGTTAATTGATATATTTAAATTTACTTAAAATTTCTCGGCACAATCCTGGAGTTATAATTTATTATATATTTTTTTATTATGTCCAAAGCTAATTTTTTCATTTTTACTTTTGATAAAGCGATAATGTATGCAACTGTCCTATACCTTCTGATAAAGTGAAATATAACGATGTCAATTTTTTGAGAGTAACTTAGAGAGTTCTAGTATTAATTAATCATTCCGTAACGTTCTAAAACGTAAAACGGAATATATTTTGACCGAAACGAGGGCAGAAAAGGTAAGAAATAATGCTTTTATTCCGGGTCCCTGATTTAAATAACTAAAATTTGGAGGAAACAGGATTAGGACCTATGCCTGAATCATATGATGTAAACCGCATTTAACATATAAACATTATATACTAGGTAGTTACTTATAAGTATAGGCCGTAACCTTAAAGTATCGAGATATAGGTAAAAAAATGATATCCGCGTACCTTTGATCTTAATACATTATCCTCTCAAAAAGTAAAAGTTAAAAAAAACAGCTATAGAAGTGATTATGTCTGCATTGGGTGAATTTTTGGACCATAAGCCCGCCCACTCAATTTAAAAAAATTTAAACAGTCCCCCCAGCCCGTCCATAGTTTTCAAAAAATATACCGCCCGCCTGCCCATTAGTCTAAAATTCCTTACCCGCCTGCCCATTAGTCTAAAATCTTTTACCAGCTTACCCATTATTTATAAAAAAATTTTAACCCAAGCCTGCTATTATATATTTTAATTATGGCCATTCTTTCAATTTTTAAACATCTAATAAAAAAAATTTCAGCATCATACTTCTATAAAAAGTTTTATAATTTAGTATTCAATTTAAATTATGGATAATTTATTTGATCAAATAAAATATTTATGAAAAAAATATAAATATAAAATTGATATTATATGTAATTAAAATGCAAAAATAATAATGAATCGACATTTTCTGGATTCAAACACGTTCTTCTTTGTTCTAAAAACCTTCCAGCTGAATTCTCGTTGAGAATTGCAAGAATTGCCAATATTTTTCTTGCTAATCTTGATAGCTTTGGCACAGGCGCGTAACCAATGGGAGGGAAAAAAATAAATTTAACCCCCCTTCGCAAATTTGACTATTTTCCTAAATATCATTTTAAGCTAATAAAAATTTTAGCCCCCCCCCCCGCCCCGTCAAAATTTTTCAATATCAAGCAGTTTATCCTTACTGCTAGTTGCATTAATAAATTATTTTCCTATAGCTCAATACTATTTAGAAATTTACAAAAACCAAATTTCGATTTGATTCAAGTTATTGGAGGAAAATATACAGGAAGAATGAATGTAGATGAATATTTCATAATATATATAGACGTTGAATCAAAAACTAAATCTTATAGAATATTATAAAATATCCAATTTCATCCCATTCTTAGATACTTTTTTATCGCAAATAAAGTATGGTTTTTAGATAAACAAGTCTTTGGTAATCTTCATTATTGGTAAAATTAAATATTTAGCAAAATTTTATTCCTATGATATTGATACTGAAATCAATTTAATCAGTGAATTCGAATTGTGGTATCAATAGTTTATTATTTTACCTGAGCATGCTATTGATGCGCTCAATCAGTTTAAGGAAACCTTGGCTTAATTTCCCAATATTTTGAAGTTATTTAATATTCTTGCATTGTTTATTTAGAACATATACGAATGAGAGAACAATTTTCGAATTGAGAAGGTTAAAAACTTATTTACAAAATACTACTTCCGAATCTCGGCTAAATGGGTTAGCTCTGTTAAATATCCACAAAGATTTGATTTTAACGACAAACGAAATTCTTGATGAATTGGCAAATATCCCACGAAAATTAAAAATCGCATTATAATTCTAGTATTTAATAAATTTTTGTATAATATTGTATTTGATAATAAGTTATAAAAACTTGTTCTTTAAAAAATTTTCTAGTCATATACACATTACAATTAGTATTTTCAATAAAAAAATCTATTTATATTATATGAGAATCTAAGTTGAAACTAGTTTTTAAGCCAATTTTATAAAAAAAAAATTGACACTAAACTTTATTTCAATTTTATATTTTAAAAAAAAATTTATTTATAATATACCTAACTTAAAATAAAAATTAGGTTATAACCTTTATTTCTTTTTTAAATATTAATAAGAGCGAATTAGTAAATAAAAGCTAAAAATATTAATTAAATTATGAATAATTTAAAAAATAGCTCAAAGATATGACCCGGCCGAAGGTAGAGGAAAAGCTGGCCGAGGGCCAGACAAAGGGGGTTTGGGGGCAAAGGCCCCAAAGAAATTTCCCCCCTATAGGAAAATCCTGGATAAGCCACTGCTTTGGCAAATCTCTTTCTTGTCGTTTCCACCAAAGAAAATTTAAATACTATATAAAAAAAGTTTATTCATTTTTAAAAAAAAGTTTTTATGATACCAAAAAAGGACATTTTAATTTTTAATATCCAAAATAGTTCATAAGAACAATTTTTTATTATTTACTTAACCTGCCCGCCCATAGTTTAAAAATTTTTTTTACTCGCCCGCCTGCCCGTTTTTAAAAAAATTTTGTCCGCTAGTGATTATCAAAATACATGCTCAAAAACCACTTTTTAACAACCAAAAGCAAAACAAAATTTTGAGCTATTATACTAATTTATTAAAATCTTACCTACCCGGATTTAATTCTATTTGATTATTATCTAGTGTAGCGATGACTTTTCCTATATCTTTATGTTCTTCGGAGTGTAAAACATTTCCATCCGCTGATTTAATTAGATTTATATCGGTTGTTGGTGAAGTCGAATGGCCAATATTATCGAGATGAATAGGGGCATCACTAATTTTTCTTATATCGAAATTGCGTTGGGGAAAGTTCATTACAACGCTTGGGCGTCTTATCAGTTTTCTTAGTACCGGCCCTGACACTAAGGTATCGCCGAAGGCATCTATGTCTTTTTAAAAATTTGATATAACTAAAATTTATTATATCAGGGACTGGAACTTTAAATTCGTTGTTTATTTATTTATTTTATTGAACCACAGAACCGACTAGAACTTTAAAAAAATGAGATTCTCGCGTTCCTGATATGATATTATATCCCAATTTCATCTACAAATTTAAAATCAAAAATTATAATTTATTCATATTTTATTTTTATTAAATAAATTTTAAAAAACATTCATTTATATATTTTATCAGCTAAATTTTTTAAATAATCATTGCGTGGTATATAGTGCAAATATTTACACACTTTTTATTACGAGTTTCGGAAGAAACAGAAACTACCAAAAATATTACGCAAGCCTGGAGATTTTGCTCATGGATAGCAGAAAGGTTTGAACATTAATTAACAAAATCTCGAGGCTTGCGTAATATTAATTTGGCTAAAATCTAATTTAAAATCGGCTAAATCGAGCCGTTTAACAACATCAAGTTCCTATTTATTAATGATTTAGGCTGTTGTTGATAATGGATATTGTTGTGATCATGGTTATGTACGGTGTTATTAAAAGCTACTTTCAAAAGTAGCGCACTATGGCTACCGCTTTCAAAAAAGTAGTGCGCTAAGTAAGCTACTTCTTACGCTACTTTCGAATTTTTAAAAATATTTACGGATCTCTATTTTCACAAATAAAAAATATGACTAAATTTTCAAATATATGTAATTTATTTTTTATTGTATCTTAATAATAATAACATTTCCATGTGGTCATCCCCACTTCTAAAGCAACGATCAGAAGTATTAGCTATGATTAAATAATCGTTCAACACTAGTATGCAATGCAGTATTAAATTTAATATACATATTTTTTAAATAAGAAAAATCAAAAATATTTATTTGAGTATTTTTAGATTTAAAAAAATGCAACTAAAGGATTTCAATAGTATTATTATTTATTTCAAAAAAATCATATATAAGTAGGTGACGTTTTTGATCTGGCTAAGGTCAGTCTAAACTTATAATAGTAATAGTTAGAATAAAAAATTATGAAGGGGATAAGTGGATGGCCATGTTTGCCAACTTACCAGGCACCACCCTTTAACTTTTTATAAATTAAAATGTGAAAGGATAGAAATAAGTATTTTTTTGGCATGTTTTGATAAAATTTAAATCTATAAATAGATGAGTGGTTAATTTTAAGCAAGTTTATGAGTGGTTAATTTTAAGCAAGTATAACATCTAAATAATAATTTTTAAAATACATTAACTAGATGAGTCTGATGATAAAAAGAAATTTTAATATAATTATTTATTGTGATTTTTAATTTATAATATAATTCTTGAATAATATTTTATGGCCAGTTGAAATAAATCAGGTTTGGACTGAGCCAGAAAATCAACTTTCACATAAACTCTTCTAGCTCAAAAGCCATTATAGATACAGCTTTGATTCAAACTAAATTTTAGAAATTAAGAATTGTGCTACACATTGATATTAAATTTGTTTGATAAATTGCTTTTAAATGTTTCCTCGTTGAAGATACTAGTTTTGTTTATAAAACCTTCCAGCACATCTTACAATAAAATTAATACCCTATCACAATTTTTTTATTGAGATTGAAGTATTTAGTAAATTCAGGAAAATAAAATTCTTATTATAATCATTTTTCAGGGAAATTACTTAGTCGAATTTATTTAATTTTTTATAAACTTAAAATTCATTATTGGCAACTCGTGTCATATTTCATATATTACAGTGGTGTCAAAAGTGGATATAAAGATTTTTTTTGAAAGAAAAAATAACAACCAGGGTCTTCTACATTCAGTCTAATTCCAATATATATTATAAAAGGAAAACGGTAAGAAAAAAGAGAAAATATTTATTATTTTATTACATTATTTAAGAAAAATTAAAATAATTATAATTAGATATTTATTAAGTACATTATAAGGAAGATATATTCAACACAAATTGATGTGTTGAGTTTTTTGTTAAGAATTGGTTTTTTGATAATGTTATGTATGTTTCTGAGATTTACTATAAGGTTAAATATAGGTAGAAATACTGGATATATATAAATAGAAAGAAAGAAGATAGAAGAGATGAGAAAAATAGGTAATGAAGAAGAAAAGGTAAGGAACAATATGTTTGTGAGACAGATATTATGCCTCACATGCGGTCAACCAGGACACATTTCACGTGAATGTGAAATGACAAGATTTAAAATGTGTGAAGTGTGCCCGAGATGGACATGTGGTATGAGTTGTAGAAATAATATTAATATATATAATATAATAAGAAATGGACAGTGGTCATTCATAAGACAGGTGTAACAAATGACTAAGAGTATTTAATTGTAAAAATAATAAATTTAAATTTCAGCACAAGATCTCAATTTTCAGTTTTTTTTACATTAAAATAATAAACCAAACAATAAAACTTCCACTTTATTTAGTCCATACCTAAAGAACATAAATTTGATGCCTAAAGTCATCAAGACTTTGTGAATCTTCTTTAACTATTTTTTTAATTAAAAAAGCCCCGGGAAAATAAATAACTACAAATTGAAAATCTGCACCCATCCCCCAGCTCGTTAAGAATTTTTGCATAAATACCCGGTCAGTTAAAATTTTACTAAATGTTTGGGCCGGCCTGTTCAATTTTTGTGTTCTTTGTGAATTTACTATATTATTTATAGACACGGTATTTTAGTTAGACAGTTCTTAAAATATAAACATATTGTAATTTTTTTTCAAGTAGTAATAATCAAAATATTCGCTTGAAATTCAAAAAAATAAGCCAAAATTTTATTGCCCCGGCTGGCTGATTAAAATTTTACATAAAATACGAGTCTGGCTTTTCATGTACAAATTATCCAGCCTAACCAGATTTTTTTATGTGTGCATATTCCGGCCCGGCATATTCCGGCCCGGCACGTTATAATTTTTTTAGTTTAGTGCCGAGCTTTGCAGATATCTACTTCAGATAATGGATATCCTAATGAAGGATTCTACCACCCGACAAAGTATCTTTATTTAGTTACCTTTGTCACCTCTTTCAGCCATTTATTTTAGTCATTTAATTATAAATATCGTTTTTTTAATATCGGTTTTATCAATAATAACTAAATATTATACTTTTAAAACATAAAATGATCCTTGTTCATACTTTCATACCAAAGCATATTCAAAAGTAAAAAATTGATAATCGAAATTCGATGGCACTATGAGTATGACATATGACTCCCCAGTGCCGTCAGCCTGCCTAAAATATTTTATGTTGACCCATTTTTTGAGCAAGCCTTGATAAAAAAAATTGCGCAAGCCAACCAGCATACAAATAATTGGATGTTGAATGATAATGTCATTAAACAGCTCGTTTTGAACCAATTTTTAAAAATGACTAAATCAATATTTTATCCATAAAAATATTACACAGGTCTTAAGATTTTGCTCATAAATGGCATAAAGGTTTGAAAACTAGAAATCAGAGTCACAGATGTCAAAATTATTCTGCGAGATAAAAAATATTTTAAAAAAATTTATAATTTGAAAACGTGAAATAAAAGAAGAAAAAATACTGACTGGCTTTCAAGTATTGGTAAGCTACTAAAGACATCTGGGGTGTGAGAAGGCTGGAATAATTTGCATCTTTATTAGGATCATCCGGCCTCCAAAATAGATCAAAATCATGCTCGCGCTTTCTCACGTGGCTACCTTTGTTGTCAATTTTATCTAAAAAAATCAAATATAGGGAAAAAAGAAAATGGGTTTAAATTAAGATTGCAAAGTTCTAAAAAATTATTATATATAGTAAGGTATTTATATTGGCATCCATAACATATTTTTAACGTTCCTCAGTGGACAAGATACTTAAAATTATTTGTTATGGCACTAATAAAGTTTTTTTTTAATTTTAGCTTTTAAAATGATAATGTAATATATATATAATATTACAAATTATAATATAATATAATAACAACTTGATCTTGAAATTAAATCATATTACATGACTATATTAAAATGTAAATAAAAATTAAAAATTAAAAAAAAACTCTTAAATTGTTATAAATATCTATTATCTAATTCCAAAATCATTCATCATTACAAAAAAAATATCAAAACAATAGAATTTTGAATCATGTAATCACATTTTCCTATGATATTAAACTCGATAATGGATTGTGTAAAATTTACTGGCAACTTAAACATAATATAAATATCCTTATTCATCTGACATAATAGAGAATGGTGCTGTAAACGGTGCTTCAAAAAAACTCATTACTCGATACGTCTGAAAATAGAAACGCGTTACTCGCTATCTTGTGAAAAAGTAACGCCTGTTATTTGCTATACAAAAAAGTAATGGGTTATTCGTTACTTAAAAAATTAAATATTATATAAATATTATGCAAGATATCTTTTTATAATAATTTTTAATAAAATAATTTAAAAATAGTATTTATAAGATAAGATATTTTTTATTTATTTTTAACAATTTGATTTTAAAATTTTGATCATTAAACAAGAGTGTTTAGTGCTCAATATAGCTATCGCTGTGAACACACGTTCAACTGGCGCAAAGGATTGGAGGGTTGTATTATTTTGGATAAATAAAAATTTAATTGGGAATCTATTAAAAATTAAAGAATAATATTTATTTTGAAAAAAGTTTAGTTCATCGTCAAAAGAATCTTTATTAGATCCTCATTCAATTTATTTTATATCTTTATTAAATAATTTGTACGTGTGTTGTTTTTTAAAGGAATAAAGTCTGCCTTTTCTTTGATCTTTTCTCAAATAGGAAATAAGTTCAATCCTTCCTTCGCTGACATCCAGCTTTACGAAAGTCAATCTGATTTAAATAGCGGGTGAGTTATTGCTGACAATATATATTCAGTTGGAATAAAATATTATTAAAATATAATTTTTGAACAATACTTCAACGGTGTACCTTTTATCTTTGTCTTGCAGAATTGCATTAATAAGTAGCTTACAAAATGGAATTATTTAAAGCCATTTTTTAAAATGTTATAATAGTTATCGTGGGAGTGAGATTTCCCAAATGCATTTTTCTTCTCTCTTTGAAATTGAAAGAGCCGTAAGAACCAGTTCTATAACCTATAAAATCATATATAAATAGCCATACAATATTCATCTATGAACGACTTGTCAATATCTGAAAATCTCTGTAATTTGGATTTATCATAAGATTCGTCAAATTTGTGGCCATTCTACTTATTATAACTATGTAAAGAGTTTCATCTTGTTATAACCAGTTTAATCAGATATCCCTTTTTTTGCTTAAAAATGGTTGCACGTAGTGTTGTTAAAAAGTCGAGTTTCGTTAGTCGACTCACTGAAGTCGAGAACTCAAGTCGACTTGAGTCGAGAACATGAGTTTTCCACTTGAGTCGTAAACTTAAGTCGACTAGAGGACGAATATTTCGAATAGGTATTAAAAATATTATTTTTGTTACAATAATTTGTGGTTTTCATGCAAAAATTTTAAGCAAAATTTGAATTGATAAGAATTTAAAATCTTCTTTTTTAATTAATTTTTTTGTGAATTATTAATCTTTTAATTGAAATCTTTAATGGGTTTATTTTTTTTTTGTAAAATTATCTATTTTTTTTAGTATATTAAAAGAACTAGTTTAAATAATTTATAAATATTTATATTAAATTTTTATGTTATTTTACATGATCGTCTTATAATATTTTAAAGTGACAATTGTCATGATATTTTAACATTTTTGAAATTTTTGGTACAAAAAGGTAAAAATATAATTATATTATAAATATGTTAAATTATAAATTCAATGATGATGTTCCTTTGTAAAAATGACAAATATCATAATCTGTATTTAACATATTAGTTTATTTTTGACGCTAATGGGTAAAATATAGATTGTAAATATGTTAAATTAAAATTTCAGTGAAGATTTCCCCTAGATAAGTGACAATTGTCATAATCGATATTTCTAAAGTTTTTTAAAATTTTTTGACGCAAATAAGTAAAAATATAGGCTGTAAATACGTTTAATTAAAAATTCAGTGAAGATGTACCATTGTGACAATTGTCATAATCGTTATTTTTAAAGTTTTTTGAATTTTTTTAAAGCAAATGGGTAAAGATATATATTGTAAACATGTAAATTAAAATTTCAGTGAAGATGTACCATAGAAAGTGACAAATGTCATAATCGTTATTTTGAATTTTTTTAAAGTAATAGGTAAAAATATATATTGTAAATATGTTAAATTAAAATTTCAGTGAAGATGTACCATAGAAAGTGACAATTGTCATAATCGTTATTTTTTAATTTTTTTAAAGTAAATCGATAAAAATATATATTGTAAAAATGTTAAATTAAAATTTCAGTGAAGATATACCATAGAAAAGTGACAATTGTCATAATCGTTATTTTTGAACTTTTTTGAATTTTTTTAAAATAAATCGGTAAAAATATATATTGTAAAAATGTTAAATTAAAATTTCAGTGAAGATATACCATAGAAAAGTGACAATTGTCATAATCGTTATTTTTGAACTTTTTTAAAGTAAATAGGTAAAAATATATATTGTAAATATGTTAAATTAAAATTTCAGTGAAGATGTACCATAGAAAGTGACAATTGTCATAATCGTTATTTTTGAATATTTTTAAAGTAAATGGGTAAAAATATATATTGTAAACATGTTAAATTAAAATTTCATGAAAATGTAGCATATAAAAGTGACAATTGTCATAATTGTTATTTTTAAAGTTTTTTAAAATTTTTTGACCCCAATTGGGTTAAAATATATTGTAAAAATGTCAAATTTAAATTTCATCAAAATGTAGGAAAGTGGCATTTGTCATCATAATCGTTATTTTTTAACATTTTTGAATTTTTTTTAAGTAAATAGGTAAAAATATATATTGTAAATATGTTAAATTAAAATTTCAGTGAAGATATACCATAGAAAGTGACAATTGTCATAATCGTTATTTTTTAACTTTTTTGAATTTTTTTAAAGTAAATCGGTAAAAATATATAATGTAAAAATGTTAAATTAAAATTTCAGTGAAGATATACCATAGAAAAGTGACAATTGTCATAATCGTTATTTTTGAACTTTTTTGAATTTTTTAAAAGAAAACTGGTAAATATATATATTGTAAACATGTTAAATTAAAATTTTAGTGAAGATACCACAGAAAAGTGACAATTGTCATAATCGTTATTTTTAAAATTTTTTGTTAAAACGAGGTGATTTTTAGCCTACGCCCGTTTATCTTATTAGGCGAGGAGGAGAGCACACTTTTTAATTACATAACCATTTAAATTTGAAAGTAATTGATTTTTAAATCTACACGTATAAATAAATTTCTTGATTTGAAAACTATTTAAATAAAAAAAAAGATTAAGTTTTGTTAATTGGTTAGTTGTGTAACTCCCAGACCTGTGGTTTGGGTCTAAAAATTGACTAAACCAGCTCTGATCACGAGCCTCTGGAAAAGACCAGGGGTTCACACACTTAATTGCCACGCCTAAAAAATGCGAACATGTATTTTCTTTAAAAAATATTACAAAACGATACTAAATTTGTTATTATTTATATAAAGTATTTAAGAATAAATTTGAGGAGGAGGGGGATTAATTAAACCTTTTTTCGCAAAATCGATTTTCATAATTCTTCCTCAAAAAAAATTTTTCTCGCAATTGATCAGACGTGCCATGTTTTCTTTAAAAGTCAAAACAAATCTTTTCCTCTTTTAATAATTTTTTTCAAAAAGGCAAAAATAAAGTCATGGCACATTTCCCCTATGTCAATATTATTTTTAATTTCATATAATAAAATATCGATTACTTAAAGATTACTCATATACCCTCCATAAAAAATGCTGATGTTAAAATTGGTACTGGGACAAAAAAATACCCCAGTAAAATAACCCATGTATTACTAATTTTCGTAAAAATTATTTGCTATAGTAATAAATACAATATCTATCCTTAATTACTATATTAAGTAGACTAAATTTAACAAAATTTGCAATAATATCTGTTTATTTAATTGAAAAATCATTATGTATATACAAATTTAATAATTTAGAATAATAATTATATCGGTTGACATCAAATAAAAGTGAAAATCGCCCTCATAAAATCTAATCTGGAAGGCTTTGCACCCTATCACGTATTCCTCGCTAAGTTTCTTTAACCGAATCTGGGTATTATAACTCTGCGCTTTTGTTTTGGTGTCCAACTACCTACACGCCATCGTTCAAGTTTGGTTTCATCGGCAGCAACCTCGCATTTCATTTTATTAATCAATACCCAAATTGATGGGCGTTTCCCAACCAGATATGAAAAATGATGATCCCAACCTTCGCATTGATTATTTGTGGGTTCTTCATCAGATAGAATGCTCTCATTCACGTTCCAAGTTTCTGGAGGAAATCAAGGCCCAATTCGACGTGTCTGGGATTGAGAATTGCTTCTTGTGACCTGCCTTGACTCCATTGATGTAATTTTTATCGAAATATTAAAGAATATCTTTACCATTGGTCGGAGTAACTGATCTCAGGAATGCCATTGCATTGCCCATATCATATAAAGGAACAAATGCTAAGCCGTCCCTCATGCCACAAAAGAAGCTTAGGACTTCATCGGTTCTGTATTGGCTTTCCAGACCTAGCTGTTGGGTACTTTGACACAAATGGTAAATCATCCTCTGATTATAATAT